AAACATGCCCTAAAAAAAAGTTTTCCAAAGTGTGTTTCACATGATGTTCATAGAAAATATGTGGTCACGTCTATTTAAGAAACACTGCCTCTGTGTATAGCAACAATCCACTGAAAAAACACTCCACGTGACTTTTTAGGGTGACACGTGAGTAAAGAATAGCAAAGCTCTTAAGAAGTGCATGCCTGCCTTCTGCTTTTAATGTTAAGAAAAGAATCAGGTTAAAAGGACTCAAGAAAACCACTCTGGAAAACCAAGACCAGGTAACAGTGCTGCAGGCAGAGAAAAGAGCTCCCTTCCTCGGTTAGCAGACACTGCACATGACGCTGGAAATGCAGCCAGGACAGCTCACCCCCGGGCACTGATGGCAGCCCCAGCCCGGGGTGGACACAGATGGGAGCGCAGCAGCAGGCTTCCTGACATCCCCAAGGACACCGGTCTGTCAGAGCGACAAGTCTGAAGGGAGGCGGGAGATCCTGGGTCAGTTTTGAGAAACCATACTCAGAACACCACTGCTGAGAGATGAGACTGAACACATACTCAAGACCAGCCACTGCTCCGCTCTCACCGGGAATCAGCTCATGGGTTTGGTTTAATAAACGAGCACCCTTGTGTGGATACACACTTATATCCACTTGCAAAGGGAATGCACTCCATAGGTCTGTCGCATGGGCTCAAATCTATAGAACCCAAGCCAGAGACAAAAAGCAGGAATTACTGACTAAGCAGAGTCCTGAGCTGAAACCCTGTAAAATGTCGCACTTCCTGCTTGTCCAAACTGCAGCAATTTCTAGCAGCTTGCTGCAGATGTGACCCAGACAGACTGCATGGTACGGACAGAGCAGCCTGCAGCACCCCCTGCTGGCCACACAGGGGCCTCTCCACAGCTGTGGCGACAGAGGCTGCCCACAGGCGGTGCTGTGCAGCCAGGCCGTAGGAGTGAGCGAAGGACTCGTGCGTCCAGACACAGCAAGCCAGGCCCAGCCAAGCCCTACTCATGCCCAAAGGCTTAAAAAGAGGTAAAACTTCCTTTCTCTGATACTTACCACAGGAAATTACTCCCAAAGAGAGCACTTTCTGAAACTTATCAACAAAATATGCCAGTTCATCCTAACTCAAGTAAGAAAAGAGAAAACATCAATACAGTGCCCAAGAACGTACTTGCACATACCCTCTGTTTTCATTCAAACGTCACGTGCCCCCACTGTTACTGTGAACACAGCAGGACTCACATCTTAGGAGATCAAATGTGAGAAGTCCCTGGGGACGGACATAACTCCAGGTGACTCCAAGTCACTCCTGGTGCCATCAGAAAAAAGCAAACCTAAGAAACGGCTTCACAGGCCCACATGAGAAATAACAACTCCTTCGTAACAACCAGTTACATTCCTCATAAGTCTCTCTCTCCAAAAAACCACCTTTATGTCTTGTATCCACCAGCTACAAAAATATACCATAAATTAAGCAGATGTTTTAAACACAACACCAGAGTTTCCTACATTTCACAATCAGAGAGAGACAGACGAGAACAACCTATTGCTAAACACTCTTAAAGCTCAAACAGGCACTTCCATCAACTCCCAGTAACATAGAAGAACTCTTATACAAAACAAAAAAATCTTACAATCAAATATGGCAACTGAAAACAGAACGTGACTAACAAGTTCTTTAAATAACCCTAAGAGAGACCACCGTGGAATCACACTAAAGAGCCTAGCCCCACCTAAGACCCAGGCAACCTTCGGGAAGTGACATGATCTCCCTGGGCCTCAGTTTACCTCCACACAACAGGCATGAGGCCATCTGGATTCACTGTGAGGATTAAATGGGCCAGACCGTGTTGTTACTGTGCCTATGCACACCAAGAACTCCATAAAAGTAGCTGTGACAATTCTCTCCTCACTCGGCCTCCCTTTCCAGACATGGCCCCCAGTCCTCCTTGGTTCTCCACCCACAGGTCTTTCCATCCTCCCTCGGTACTTCGGAGGAAGTTCAAGTCAGCACAGCAGAGAGCTTTTTACATCCTGCCTCCTAGAGGCACGTCACGAGGACAGACTGCTCTACTCTCCATGCGAAATCCATCAGCGAGCCAGTTTAGTGAGAAGACAGCTGGCACCTTCTAGGCTGGGGTAGGGAAAGTGCAGGGTGAGTCTGAGACCGACTCCCACGGTGCCAGAAGACAGTGAGCACCCAAAGACGAGAGGGTTATGTCCAAAGAGAGAAGTCCGTAGGGACAGCACACTTGCAGCTGAATCTAGAAACACTTAAGCATCAAAAATAACTATGACGACAAAGGCTTATAACCATCGAAATGAGAAAAGTCTTTGCATTTGTACTAATCCTCAACAATACTAATGAATAAAGTGCCAGCTGATGAGTATAGAAAAATGACAGAATTAGGAAGATCACCCATCTGCAACACTCCACATGACTGATTCAGCCAAGGACCATCGATGACGTCAGACCCTTTGCTGGAGGATAGGCTGCTGGAGAATAAGATCTTCACATGTCTCAACGTGTCACTTCACTGATTCCAAAGTGGAAACACACCTCGCCACAGGGGGATCTAGAGACACCACCTGTGGTTCAGGTCAGCCATCCCCAGTAATGGACACCTGCCAGTATGTCTGCTCCACTGGGATGCAAAGCACACAGCGGTGGCTATGAAAGACTTCTGGCAAAAAGGAAACCATGAGAAAAATACAGAATGTCGGATTTTCCACAAGAGACTGCTTTGGATTCTCTACAAAAAAACTGAATGTCATAAAAAATAAAAACAACAAAATGGGTAAAGGACTGTCCTAGATAAAAAGAGACCAAAGAACAAAGTATCTAAATGTACTGAATGAATCCTGATTAAATCCCAGATCTAAAACAAGTATCAAAGACATTTTGTGGACAAGGATAAATTTGAATATGAGCTGGATACCAGATAATATTACACAATTATTAAAAATTTTCTTAGGTGGAAAACGTACCATAGTTATTTAAGAGAATGTCCTTATTCTCAAAAGATGCATGCTAAAGTGTTTAGGGGTAAAGGGTCATGACAAGGGCAACTTCCTTTCAAAGTGCTCAGGCAAAGAGAGCACGTGTGTACAGTGTATACACACAATACATGTGTACATGTATCTATAAAGAGACAAAAGACAAATGTGAAATAAAAACGACTGGTGAGTCTAGGAGAAGGGGAAACGGGGAGTCACTGCACTATTCTGTCAACTTTTACATACTCCTGAAACTTTTCAAAATGAAGAACTTGGGAGAAAAGATGCACAGGCTCAGGAGTAAGGCTGTGCACGTCGGCATCCTGGCTTGCCTTGAGTATTGGTGACCACAGACAGTTCCTTCCATCCTCTGGGCCCAGAGTGACCTCGCCCTAAAAACAGACAAAGAAGAGCTGCTCTCGGCCCACCCACAGCTCCACCCCTGCACAGTGCGCTCTGTCGTCCTCTCTGTACCGTCTAGGCTAGCCTGGTTGGAAGTTGTCCCCTCCACAGCCTCGAGCAGAACAAAGAGGACGAGGCCCACACAAGGGCAGGGCCAGCGGGAGAGCATGAGCCACCACTGCCCTGTGCTCAGGGAAAACACTGTCATCACGAACCGCTGGAATCAGGGCTTCTCTGTGATAGGGCTCTGGTTGCCCAAGCTGGTAGAAGAAATGTTCCCTTACGTCGGGATGAAATCATTTCCTACACAGAAGCTCTTAGAGCAGAGCCAGCCGGACACAGAGATCTCAATAGATCTCAATGTGTGTCGGCTGCCTCGCACTGTAAACATTTCAGCAGACCGCAGATGCAAGACACTCACTCATTTTCCAATCTCAACCTACTTAAAAACTTTGTCCTAGTTTCATTTTGAGCATTAAATCTAAAACTTAGTATCTAATACTAAAGAAAAAACAGATGTTTACTGCATCACGTGATGGAATGAAGGAAATCCGTATTTTAGAGCAGCCAAATGAGCAAGCATTAAAGTGTTTGGGGAGCATGACTGCATGCAACGCCCTCTCCAGACCTGCAGGAGCTCAAATAGGACATGCACTGCCGTGTGGGAGGGACAGGGATGGTCTGGAGGGGCAACATGCGGTGACAGTGGTGGCATGAGGAGCAGGTGACAAGATATATTCAGCAGGTATGACTGGCAGGAGTCCTGCTGGTGGGCTAGATGGAGCACAGCAGGGGAGCAGACAAGTCTGTGGGTCAAGTAACTGGAAAGACGTTCAGGTAATTTATCAGGAAGGGCTAGACTGGAAGAACAAGTTTGCGAAAAGAAACAAAGTTCTATTAAGACATGATTATGCCTAAGCTTCCCAAAAGACGGCTAGGCAGATGGAGGTTTAGGGTCAGTGTGTGTTTGTGTGTCTTCTCCCCAAACAGACCCTGCAAATACTTGTACAGTCGGCCCTCTGTATCCACAAATTCCTCATCATCAGATTCAACAGATCATGGATGGAAAATCCACATTTTTGTTTTTTCGATCCAAAGTTGACTGAATCTTCGGATGTGGAACCTGCAGACAGGAGGGCCAACTACAACGACTTGCACATCCTTGGATTTTGGTATCTGTGGGGGGTCCTGGACCCCATGCCCCACAAATACTGAGGGACGACTATAATATCAAAACTAGACAAAAACAATCCCAGTGAGAGGACTTGGAAATGGCTACGAACAGCTCCAATCTGGTTCCCTCCACAGACGACATTCACATTACCAGCTCTGCAGTATTTTTCTGGATTCTTCTCTGATTCCTCCTCCCCAACTGCCCCATTCTGTCCCCATCCAATTTCTTGAAAGGACATCAATGACTTCTCTTAATCTCCTCAATTCTTTGAAATCTCCAAAATGAAGCTAAATGTTTAGAAAAGAGTAGCCATTTTCGAAGATAGTAGAGTTGGAAATTAATACTGAAAATTAAGATAAAAATTAAGTTTTAATATCAACTCACAAAATCTTTTTCATGAATAGTTAAAAAGAGATCACTAAATGACTGCAACTCACTCCGTGTGGCCCTGGAAAACATTCACAGAGTGGATGGAAGGGTCCCTGAAATCCCAGAGACGGAAAGTCGTGTCACGGGAGGAAGTCACCACGAGCCGCTGGGTGGGGTGTGTGCAACAGTGCGTGAGCTCCTGGTCATGCCCTACAACCAAGACGACAAAAACGCAAGATCATCCACCTGCAGATGCACAGTTATAGTGAAGCTTTCTTAAAAACACAAGAATCAAAAAACAGTCTTTATGCGATCCAACGCTGTATTCATTGTAAAGCAAACACAAGGAATCACTTAATAAGAGTATGTGGGGTTCACAGTGGGATGAGTTTTCTCTCAGGAGGAAAGTCCTCTCACTCATGTATTTAAAGGGAGCAGGACAATGAGTATTGAGGGTAACCCACTGCCTGATCCTAACAATTAGAAGCTCGGGCAAATCTCTTTAACAGGCTGCATGTGTGAACAAATTAATTGTCAATTCTTCACTTCCAAAGTAATCTCTAATAATGTCATCTGTGGAGCCCTCAGTAAAATACAATCTTTAACACTCAAAGAGGAAATGCACTTACTGATGATTTGCAAAAACACCTGTGGTGGGCAGAATTCTAAGATGGCCTGGAGACCCCCATCCCTGGTGTACACACCCTGTATGATACTTTCCCTTGACTTTGGGCAGAACCTGCAAATGTGATGAGACATCACTCTGGTAATTACAGTACATTATAACCAAAACAGATTTTGCAAATGTAATTAAAGACCCTAAATCAGATGGCTTTGAGTTAATCAAAAGAGACTGTCCTAACCAGGTGGGCCCTCTGAAAGGGCCCAGGCCTTCCCAGGGGATGGATTCAAAGCTGCAGAGATGCTCTGCTGCTGGCCTGGAAGAAAGCAAACCAGATGGAGAACTGCCCCTGGAGGGGCCAAGAGGGACTGAGGGCAGCCTCTGGATGCTAAGAGCGCCCCCAGCTGACAGCTGGGAAGAAAATGGGGGACTCAGTCGCACATAAGGAAATGAATCCTCCCAACAATAGTAAGGTAGAACACTCCACACCTCAGATGAGATGACAGCCCTGGGCAATACTTCATTTCACCTGTGAGACCCTAAGCAGAGGGCCAGAGAGCATGTGCCCGAAACTCCCGACCCACGGAAACCATGAGGTTATAAATTTACGTTATTTAAGATGCTAAGTTCGTGGAAATTTGTTATAAAGCAATGTAAAACTAATATAGCAACCATATTCCAAATAACTACATACTGTACGCTACAATCGAATCCCCTAAAGATAAAATAAAGTTAGCTAACCACAGTTCTATTAATCAGAAAGGATCTCTGAAAATCACAACCTGAGCGCCAGGAGAACTAAAACTAATTCTGGACGAGAGGCAACCTGCAAGGTGAGATACAAGCACATGCACGTAAATCGAAAGCAAACAGCTGGAGGCGCGGACGGCTGAAGTACCTGTCAGCGAGTGGACAAGCTCCGCCGTCTGCACGTCGTACAAGTTCGCCGCTCTGTCCCAGGAGGCTGTCACCACCTGCTGCCCCCCAACCAGCCAGTCAGCAGCTATAACCACTCCCTGGTGGCTCTTAAGAGACGTGAGTGGCACCCGGATGGTAGGACAGTCACTGGACACGTCTCCATCAACATCAGGCTCATCTTTATCTGAGCACTCTACTTCATCTTCACCACATATCTGCTGCTGAAAGTGAAAGCAAAGGAGAAATTCTCTGGGAATCTGAGTCTTTCTGACACAGCTACACAATCAGACTGTTGTCACTTGTCTTCCTAGGACTTGATCATCATTATGACCAATAGCAGCTCAGTATCTAGCTGATACTCAATGGCTGATACACGACTGATGCTCAATGAATGTTTATCAACTTCATGATGATCTACTTGGCTAAAACCCAGGTCCAAATATAAGAAGAAAAAATTAAGTTCACTATGACATCCAATGAGCTACAGTCCACTTCCACTAACTAACAGAATGGCAAATAAAATGATTTTCAACATTTTAAGCTTTTACCAATTAGTAAATATATAATAAAACTAAACAAATACAACTGAAAAATCAATATTTTAATACAATAAAAAAGACACATTTCAATTCTCAGGAACCTGTTTAAGATATACTTAGAATTCTATTGTTATGAATAATACGTATGAGAGGTCACTTCATTTTCCTACAATACCAATGAAGCCAAGGATAAAAGAAAAACATAATAGTCAGCCTAGGCTTCAGGTCTTTAAGAAAATACGTTTACCTATTCCTTCAACATATATTTTATCAGGTGCTTACACAGTGCCAGGCCAGTCACACAGCATGAAGGAGAGAGACGATCTCTGTCTGACGTGTATATACCATGTACAGGCCAGGGGATGAGGGCCCTACTGGGGCCAAAGTCCCCACCTCACGGAGGTTACATGCTAGCAAGGAAGACAGTCCCCACACATGATCACACACAGACACACAGGCAGACATATAAGATGTGTGAGAATATATGCCACATGTACACACATGGTATAGGAATACAGGCCACCCATACACGCACAGAGTATAGGAATATATGCCACATATACACACACACAGTACAGGAATATGCCACATGCACACACACACATAGTACAGGGATATACATCTCATGTACACACACAAACAGTGTAGGGATATGCCAGATATACACAAAGACACACACAGTATAGGGATATGCCACATATATACTCATAGTATAGGGATATACATCATATAAATACACACAAACAGTACAGGAATACATATCACGTGTACACACACATAGTATAGGGACATATGTCACATGTATACACACGTGGTATAGGGATACACGCCACATGTACACACAGTACAGTTGTGTATCAATGACAGCGATACGTTCTGAGAAATGCATCATTAGGTGATCGTGTTGTTGTGTGACCACCATAGAGCGCACTTACACAAAGGTAGATGGTATAGCCTACTACATACCTGGGCCATATGGTACTAATCTTATGGGACCACTGTCGTACATGTGGTCCGTTGCTGACAAACACCGTTATGTGGTACGTGACTGTATTTCAAATTACACTAAGCACTACAAAGTTAAGTGCAGGGTGCTGAGAGTAACTTGGGTGGTGTGCGACACTGCACAGCATCCACAGGAAAAGCGGTGTGGGGTGGTGTGGAGGGAAGAGGGTCTAGGACAAAGTCTGAGCAGGGACCCTGCAGGGAGGGAGAAGGTGGCAAGGTCAGGGCAGCAAGTGCATGCAGTTTGGGCTGCTGTGGGGAAGTGACACAAACTGAGGCCAGAGGGTCAGCAAAGGGTGCAAGTTTAGAAAGGATAGTCCTGATGTTATATAGAGAAGAGATTGGAGGTGAGCAGCCAGACCTGCGACATGGACACTAGTTAGGAGACTAGTTAGTGACCCGGACTAGAGACAACGGCTAGTGCTTAACAGAACTCTGCCCTTCAGCATGAGGATGGGATCTCTGTTCCCGTGGAGCTAAAAGGCCGCTCAAGGTGAAAGAATCCCTGGCTGCCAACCTGCATCCAGAGGAGAGGAGCAACCCACCCACTAGAGATTCCCGAGGTGGACACCGCAGCTCAGGGCTTTCCTTCAGACAATACTGGTCCGTGGGCCACGGGGCTTCCCAGCCCCCAAGGCCACTCCTGAGGAGCCTCCTACACCTTTGCTGCCCCTTGGGTGGGCGAGGGGGTCTGCATGACTCCGTGGACAGGTGGAGAAGAGGGGTGCCAGGTGGGGCTGCAGCTCCTGTCCTCCCTCCTCCTAGGGGACTCTCAGCAGAGACCCCCTGGGTGGGTGTTGCAAAAGGGATTATCACACAGACAGAGAAGAGTGGACCCAAGAACTATTTAGGAAGCAGAATCAGCAAGATTTCCTGAAGCAGGCGGAAATGTGGGAGGGGGAGGGTGATAGAAGAAATGTCAAAGATAATCTCAAACTTTCTCACACTTTTGTTCAGTTCCACCCCAGACCTACAACAGTGAACCTAATCAGCTATTTGCAAAGTATCTGGAAGGAAGGAACAAGTGGGCATGCTAAAGAGCGATCTCCTCAGAGGGGAAGCTGGAGGAGGGTTAGGGGAGACCATGTGTGTGGTTTGCGTTTTGGGAACAGTCCAGCGGAGAGACCTTGGGTGCCGGGAGCACAGAAGAGTGGCCTGGAGCTCCCATTTTAAAAAGCCCTAGGGGGCTGGCCTGGTGGTATAGCGGTTAAGTTTGCATGCTCCACATCAGCAGCCCAGGGTTTGCCAGTTCACATCATGAGCACAGACCTACACACCACTCATCAAGTCACGCTGTGGCAGGTGTCCCACATATAAAATAGAGGAAGATGGGCACAGATATTAGCTCAGGGCCAATCTTCCTCGGCAAAAAAAGAACAGCAAAAAAAGGAGGATTGGCAGCAAATATTAGCTCAGGGCTAATCTTCAAAAAAAGAGAAAAAACCCTGGTAATCAGGATCCACGCTGGAAAGGTCAGAATCAGAACATTTACAGCACTCATCTTTCCAAACTACACAAGAATTAAAAGACATTTTAAAATGCAAATGTAGTAAGTCATATTAAAGAATAATTATAAGCTCTTTCAACCCTAATTCAGCAAAGGACAGAGGTGGAAAAGTGAGATTTGTTTATGTGTGTTTCTGCCAACAACTTAGTGATAATTAATCTATTTAACTTTAATCATTCTAGTGCCAGAAACATTTTAAGAGAGTGTCCAATAATTGTCAACTTAACCCTCACTAAATATTGACTGAGCACCAGCAGTCCACAGAACCAACAAGCCACTGCATCACAGTGTTCTGACGTAGGAAGGGTCACTGGAAGCCACACAGGTAACAAGTTCCAATTTTCATTTTCAAATGGAAAAAATTAACACCACTAAATTAAACTAATGACTCAATACCACACAACTAGTACAACACAGTGACTCACTGGGTAATGTGAAGTTGTTTACACTGCACACCAGATATTTCCTCATCAACAGAGCAGATGTCAAGCAAAACTCATTGGTCCAAATTAAAGAGAGAACGTCTGTCTGAACGCTGTACTGATTCAGAATAACAGACCTTAACAGAGTGGAGTTTACTTCAAAATCTAGGATTAGAACTGCTATGTAAACCTGAGTGAAGACTGACCAGCAAAAGTCCAAGAAAGTAAGTGACTTGGCTCTAAGAGCATCGTTGGCGCTGAGAGGTAACTGCAAAGGAGCATCACCTACTCTTCATTCGGCAAGGCCACACAGAACCCCTCCCTGGCAAAGCTGCTGGAGCCGTTTCAGACTCTGACTATGAGACAGGCTCATCTCTAACTCAGATTGGGCTTTCCCTGGTTAGCCCCCAAATCCTGAGGCAGCAACTATGAAGCAGGAGAAGTCTCTGCATCCAATGCAAGCAAAATCATAAAGAAAATAAAGTCAATTTAATATTCTCAGTAAACTATTTTTTTAATGTAAGTACTGTACATCATCCTTCCCCTCTGACAAAACTAGTGCTATTAAATATTTGAAAAAAAAATCCATACAACGTTAACTCTTCCGAACTTTCTGAGCATTAATTTTCACCCCATCTGTCTGCCCTGTCCTCCATCAGCTCTCATTGTTTTTTTTTTTCCCCTGCTTTTTCTCCCCAAATCCTCCCAGTACATAGTTGCATATTTTAGTTTTGGATCCCTCTAGCTGTGGTATGTGGGACGCCACCTCAGCGTAGCCTGACACATGGTGCCATGTCTGCACTCAGGATCCGAACCAGCGAAACCCTGGGCTGCTGAAGTGGAGCGCTCAAACTTAACCACTCAGCCACAGGGCCGGTCCCTCTCATTGTTTCCTGAATGAATATACGTGTTAAATATAGCACATCATAAATGCTTCAGTAATTCCACATGGGAAAAACTTCGTTAAGATACATAACACTCGGGGGCTGGCCCCATGGCCGAGTGGTTAAGTTCACACGCTCCGCTGCAGGCGGCCCAGTGTTTCGTTGGTTCGAATCCTGGCACGGACATGGCACTGCTCATCAAACCAAGCTAAGGCTGCATCCCACATGCCACAAGTGGAAGGACCCACAACGAAGAATATACAACGATGCACTGGGGGGTTTTGGGGAGAAAAAGGAAAACAAAATTTTAAAAAACCTTTAAAAAAAAAAGACATAACACGCTCTATTAAAAAAGAACTGTTCAGTCTTCTTAACTAAAGAAAACTCATTCTTACTCAACACAGGAATTTATTAATTGCTTAACCCTTCTCCAAATAAAACAATGTTTAAACTATTTAAAAAAAGAAAAAGTGAAGAAATATTCTAAGGCAAAAATATCAAAACTAGAAGATTACTATCGTACTCCCAAGAATTATAGCCAAAACGTACACCAAAACCTCATTTTCGCTGGACCGTGTAAAATCATCTAGCTTCTCTGCTGATAGAGTACTTCTACCTGTATTAGCAGTGCAGGGAAGGCGCTACCCATCTGTGAAGACTAAACAGCAAAAAGCTACGCTATAACAGAAACGAGATGGTCACTTCACTCCAAAGGATAATTAAGATCCCTGCATGATTACAAATACAGGGTGTGGGGCTGAAGTGGCACAACTGTATCCAATAGGAGAAGACAAACAGTAATTGAAGGATTTATCGTTTAAATCTACAGATGTATTCTTCTTCCCAATATGCAACCTCACCAAGAACATACAATGGAAACGTCTCTTCAATAAATGGTATTGGGAAAACTGGACAGACACATGCAAAAGAATGAAAGAAGACCATTATCTTACACCATACAGAAAAATCAACTCAACATGATTAAAGACTTGAATGTAAGACCTGAAACCACAAAACTCCTAGAAGAAAATATAAGCAGTACACTCGTCGACATGAGTCTTAGCAGTATCTTTTTGACTATCATGTCTCCTCAAGCAACGGAAACAAAAGAAAAACTAAACAAATCGGACTGTAACAGACTAAACAGCTTCTGCGTGGCAAAGGAAACCATGAACAAAATGAAAAGACAACACACCATCTGTAGAAAATATTTGCAAATCATGTATCTGATCAGGGCTTAATTTCCAAAATGTATAAAGAACTCATACAGCTCAACAACAAAAAAATGAACAACCCACCCAAAAAATGGTCAGAGGCTATGAACAGACATTTTTCTAAAGAAGATTTACAGATGGCCAACAGGCACATGAAAAGATGTCCAACATCACTAATTGTTAGGGAAATGCAAATCAAAGCTATGAGATATCATCTCGCACCCATTAGAATGGCTATAATTAACAAGACAAATAAGTGTTAGGTTGTGGAGAAAAGGGAACCCTCATACACTGCTGATGGGAATGCAAACTGATGGAGCCACTACAGAAAACAGCATGGAGATTTCTCAAAAAATTAAGAATAGAAATACCATATGATCCAGCTATTCCACTACTGGGTATTTATCCAAAGAACATGAAAAACGAATTTAAAAAGATATATGCACCTCTATGTTCATCGCAGCATTTTTCCCAATAGTCAAGACAAGGAAGCAACTCAAATGCCCATCAACAGATGAATGGATAAAGATGTGGTATATGTATACAATGGAATACTACTCAGCCATAAAAAAAGGACAGTATTGTGCCATTTGCAACAACATGGATGGAACTTGAGGATACTTATGCTAAGCAAAATAAGTCAGAGAAAGGCAAATACTGGATGATTTCACTCATAAATGGAAGATACACACAGAGATAAGGGGAACAGATTGGTGGTTACCAAAGGGAAAAGGGTGGGGGAAGGGCAAAAGGGGTAAAGGGGCACTCAGGTACGGTGGACAAATAAAAACTAGACTATTGGTGGTAAGCATGATGCAGTCTATACAGAAGCTGAAATATAATGATGTACATCTAAAATTTATACAATGTTATAAATCAATGTGACCTCAATAAAAAAATATATATATATACACAACCTCTTTGGTTACCTACATTAATGATGTCATGCATGCCACTGACTTACATGTTTTTCTTATATGAAAGATAGACAAACTGTCTAAAATCAAATACCTAAAACATTAAGAAATATAACCTAATTATAAAATGTAAAACAATTAATGTTAAATGTTTAGTATTTGTGGAAAGGGAAGTGTAATGAACATATGCATATATAAATAAAGGTATTTCTTCTTAGACCCTGTCTTGGTCTGCTCAGGCTGCCAGAACAAAACACCAACCTCAGGTAGCCATGATCAAGGTGTGGCAGATTCGGTTTGGGTGAGGGCTCTCCTCCTGGCCTGTGGACGGACACCTTCTCACTATGTCCCCACATGGCCTTTCCTAGGTGCGTGCAGGGAAAGAAAGCCATAAGAGCTCTCTGGTATCTCTTCTTATAAGGACACTAATACTGAGAGATCAGGGCCCCACCCTTATGACCTCATGTAACCTTAATTACTTCCTTAAAGGCCCATCTCCAAATACAGCCACACTGGGGGATTAGGGCTTCAATGTGGGAATCTAGGGGGACACACAAACTTTTAGTCTGTACAATATTACAAATTTATCCTAAAATTCACAAACATCCAGAACCCTACCAACATACCCCATGTCGTGTTTTCAGGGTAAGTAAATGTGCTGCTTACACTAGTGTCGGCAACAGGCTGAGGTGTTGGCAGCTGAACTGCGTATCTCCAAATGTGAGCAGTCTGATCTCCAGAAGCTGAGGAGAGAAATAGGGAGAAAGTTACCCAAAGTACACACCATGCATAAAATATACCTTTCGCGAGGCTCTAAGCATCATCAGACTTTGTAACTTAGTGATCATTAATGAGATGAACATATTTTACTTAGATAGCTATTTCTGAGACTGCATAATGTTACTGAGACCTGAGAAAATATGTAAAATTGAGATCATTACTTTTAAAAATATTCCCCCTTTCATTTTAGGGTAGAAAGTTGCAAAGGTTCAGAGAAAATTTACAAATAGTAGATTTCATTCTCCATATACCTAATCTAAGTAAAGTGAAATATAATTACACTATAACTTATAACTAAAATAGATTCCGAGGTATTTCAGAAAAGCGAGTAACAGACAAACGCATGTCCCCATCCACTCAACATCGAGGAGCCGCACAACCTGCCAGGTGCTCATTAGTATCAAGACCTCATTTTCACCAGCCAAGTCTGCAAGACGATGCCTGGACTTGGAAACAGAAAGACAGAGGGCAGCTGGAGGGCACAGCCAGGCCCACAGAGGTGCCGAGACGGCCATCTCACTCGCCCTTACAAGAGCCCGTCTGAACCCCACCTTCTCCTCGTGGCTGAAGAGCTTCCCAGAGAAGCGGCCACATGCGGATGGCAGTACACATCTCACAGTGTCAAATGAATTTACTGCCTGGCTTACAGTGTCTCTTGGAATCGGCATCAGAGCCAAACTCCATCTACCACTCCTCTCTCCAGTCGTACTACTTCATCCATCTCAGTTTCCATCAGCCCCTCTCTGAGAGGTCTCTTGATTTCCTCACCTCCTTTCCAATCCCTGGTTGTCAGTGGTCTCTCCATCTTTCCTCTTCCCAATCACACAAGAAACAGCCAATTTAATAAGGTCTAAACTCCTCGCCTCCTTCACTCCCCAGACATTTATTAAGGTATCAACTAGCAAATGTGGTCGAGGCTGATGACTGTCAAACTGGCCTTCCCACCAGGTTCCACTCGCATGTAAAGCACTCGACTAGCCCTACTTCTGGGCTCTATTCCACAGACAACTAAATCTGGCCCGCAGGCCAAATCCAGGCAGCCACCCATTCTAAAGGCTTACTGCACACAGCCATGGCCACTCATCTGTGCACCTCTCTGCTGCCTCTAACTTAACACAGAGCTGAGTGGTTGTGACACACATCAAGTGACCTTCAAAGATGAAAACATTCACTTCTGATCAGCAGGAAAAAGCTTGCTGACCTCTGGTCTATCCAAACACTTTTCCTTCAAGATTATCAGCAGTGTCCCCAATTTCATAGGAAAAATCCTCACTACAATAATAGAAGTGTGTTTAAAAACACTATATAAAATTACGACAAACCCAAGCTTCCACAGTGTAGAAGAACTACCTAGAAAAGAAGAAAACACTGGCTCTGCCGATGACCATGATGACGTGAGCCTCCTGTTTCTCTCTTTTCTGTATTTTGGATGCATACAGGATTAGGACTAGGCAGGAATGACAGGGCTTCAGAGAACCGAATTACAGTCCACTGAGAATCGTCACAGTGCAAGCAGGCAGTGGCAATGAAGTGCTTCATAAAAAGACTTCTAGAGGAACAGGAGTCAATTTTAATCTCACAATAAAGTCAAGGTCATCTAACTCTCAATCCACTACAGTTAAAAAAACCAATCTATTCAAAGTATTTTTCTGTATTCATTCCTCACTTAATTCATAAAATGTCTACTAACAACTAACTTTTGTAAAAGGCATGGATAATCCTGACACTATGTATAGGGAGGGAAAGATTACAGCTGTTTTAAGATTATCAATAACTTCATTCAATAAAGAAAAAAATCAACATACCAGTGAGAGCCAACTGCTCTGATGGATGAAATTTTATAGAATTTACTGCAAAATAAAAAAATTACAAAAACAGGTTTAAAATAACAAAAAAGATATCATCAATATTTATTATAGCTACAACGTGTGATGCAGTTAAACTTAAAAATAAAAAGAACTATACTAATTCAATATTAGATCTTCCCATTCAATTAAACTATGAATAAATGTGTAAGTTAAAGAGAACAGAGATACAGTAAAAATTAACTATCACACTGCTCAGACACAGGACACACAGAAAAAGAATATTAACAATCTATTTCTTTTTACAGGTAGGGAAGTCATCTAGATTTAAAAATAAATCAGGACAAAAAAAGAAAACGTGATTACGACAGCAAGCAGAGGCAGCTGGCAGTTGCGGACACTGTTCTTGCCTACCCGCTGGCCATGAGCCCACCCTCCCTGCTCCCCGGCTCTCAGAAACGCAGTGTTCCACTCCAGGAGGAGACGCCAGGAACTCAGAGCGCAGGCCTGCAGCATAATAGGGAAGATGGGGATCAGGCTAGGATAGTCAGGATACCTTCCCAGGCTCCTCTCCAAACGTGGGAGTGAACTGGGTGTTGAAGGCCATGGAGGCAGTGGGACCTGAAGGCCCAGATCCCTCAGAACAGGTGAGCAGAAGACGTGGGCCTCCAGGCACTGCCAACGAATGCCTGCCCTGGGCACATAGAAGGCAGACTCGAGGGGCAGAGGAGCCAGGGTACAGGAGACAAGGTGGAAGCACAGGGCCTGTGAAGGCGAGCCCTTGAGGACAGCACCCTTGGAAGAAGAGAAGGCCGACACACTGGTGTTTCCAACGCTGAAGCCCCCTCCCATCACCAGGCCTCACTAAACCAAGGCCAGCATGCACACCCCATCTGCTCTGGAGAGACAGCGAATCTCCCCAGATGAAGGGACACCATGCAGGGCCCGCACAAATTTTTCACATGTAATGCCAGGTCATAAAGTAAAAATGACTAGGCAGAAAAAGGTCCCGTGAAGAAAGAGAGTGAGAGAAATGCACAGGGCTGAGGCACGTGCTAGAAGATGGCACACAGAGGTGAATGGAACACGACCTCAGCCTGAGGGACTGAAGACACTCACCATGGAGAAAAGGAAACAGAAACCACAGAAAAGAGGAAAGGAAATGTGTTACCAGCACCTCAGGAAACAGGTTCAGATGACTGGGAACCAAGAAGAAATGGACCAGATAAGCAATCCCACCGGAATCCAAGCACTGAGGTTAGAAGATGCACTTAAAATAATGGTGCTTCCACTCCACATATACCAGAACAGCTAAATTAGAACCCAGCACACAGAGAGAACATGGACCAACCAGACTCCCCACACTGCTGGCATAATGGAGGGCAAAGGAACACAAGCAGGCACTGTGGAAAATGTCTAGGGGTCTCTGCTAGCAAGGAGCACCCCATACAATCCCACCTACAGGGAGTCGCACCCAGAAATGACTATGTGCATACGCATATATATGCAAGATCAAATAGGAACTGGACACCTATAATTATCTCTAATAGAAAACTGGAAAGATCCTAATAAACCGCAGACTATCCCAGTACTGTAGTGCCAGACAGCAAGAGTCACATAGCAAGAATGCCACACAGCAACGCAGCAACGACAAACACAACACAGACCAATCACACAGTCAGGACCCAAAGCTGGGAGATGGCCTCAGGTCTTACCACTGCGTAAAAATCTGAGCTGCACACTTGTGATTTGAGAGCTCTTCAGTGTGTATGCCACACTGCAATCAGCAGTTTACAGAGGCAGCAGAGAATGAGCAATCCCAGGCCCCACCAACACCGTGGTACTCAGCTGACCAGGAGTGAGCTGCAAGTCGGCATGAGCACTGGCTGGAGGCCCAGAGGGCACCCGCTCGCCCCCACACTTCACCTTCTCACCCAAGCAAAAACAGGTTCAGTTTCTTGACTAATTAGAGGGATAAAAGAAGATTTTGCATAATGTTATGATAAAAAGGAACTTTCAGAGAATAAGAAAAAACCAGAGAAAATTAAAAACATGACAGCATGAAGGGTTTTTTTCAGCGCATGGGCTGAGAGATGAAGTTCAGGAAATCTCCTAGAAATAAAGAAAAAATACGGTAGAAAATGAAAGAGAAAAAAATAATAAAATAAGAGAAACAGTGTGGGAGTTCAAACATTCTGATAGAAATTCCAAAACACAAGACTACTTCCCAGAACTTACATTTCCAGATTGGAAAGTCTCACCCAATGTGCAAAACAATTAAAAAAAAAACAAACAGGCCTACAGAAAAAATCCCAGAAGCTTCGAGAGAGATGTGTGATCACCCATGAAGGACCACGGTTGAAAACAGCACTAACCTTTTTAACAACAATCCCGGAAGCCAAAGAATATGGGAAACTATAACACCACCTCCCAATTTCTGAGAGAAAACTATTTCCTACACAGAAGACCATACTCAGCCAAATTACCAAGTATAAAGGTAAAATATACCTTTCAGACATTTAGGGTCTCAAAAAGTTTCCTCTAAGACACCTTTTATAAGGAAGCCACTGAAAAAGAGAGGCTTCCCTGAAGAGAGAGAAAAATGGGACCCAGAACAGAAAGCAGGCCCCAAGGGAGCAAGGCAGAGGGACACCCCAGGAGGAGACAGGAGGGGACTTGCAGGGCAGCACTGAGGAACCAGGTACCAAAGCTGCCCAGAGGGAGCAGAGGCCCAGAGGACCCGCTGAGTCTGCTCACATGAAAGGAAGGTCACATGTGCAGCAGAATGTAAGGACAAACCAGGGACACAGATAAATGAGGTGACAAGAAAACAAGGCAACCCTTCTCTTCAGAGAAAACACAACGGGGATTGCAAGTACAGTGCGTAAGTGGGTAGTCACGAACAACGCAGATGTGGCCACAATTAGTAAACCGGAATGTCCATTTAAACAAAAATCGTGCTCTAGATACTCGGCAATGACAAGAGAAGAATGTATGTGGCAAGTGAGTAAATCTTCATCTTCCTTAATTGCGTCACTTCTTTGTCTAAAATTCAAAATTAGCAAACAACAGAGTACTATTAGAAAAATGGAAGAAAAAAGCAGACTACTCAGAACTGTTACAAGTGGCTGCCTGGCTGCCTTTCTGGGAAGTGAAAATATAGAGGAGAGATGAGGCAGGAGACTGCTGTTAATTTTTTATACACAATAATAATAATGCCTTATTAATTTTTAGACTATGTGTACGTATTTAATTTTTTAATGTTTTTTAAAGAGTAAATCTGAAGTGAGGAAGCAGAAATAGAGAACACAGCATGCACACATTTAACAAGGTCTGGCTATGTTGCTGAGCACCTATTCCATCCACCCCAGGGAACCAGCAGCGAAGAGACACAGGGTTCAGGGAGACAGTGGGTATAAGCCAGAGAGGAAGAGGCGAGGCGGCACCATGGGGGAGGATGTTCAGTGTGGGGAAGGCGTGAGCTTGCTCACACGCTGAGGGCAACACCCTGGCAAGACAGACACAGGCAGAAGAGACAGGGACACCTGAAGGAGTAATGACCCAAGAAAGAGAAGAGCCTGGGGTCCACAGCCCTGACAGGACAACAGACACATCCTCCACCAATGCCGACAAGAGGACGCTCAGTTGATGTCTGTAGGTGGGGGCAGACGTGAGTCCAGAAGTGGGAGACAGACACCATCTCTGAGTTTGTCTACAAAAGTTAAGGCATGGTAGTGGCCGGTGAGGGGCGAGGGAGCCAGAAGGCAGCCTGACAGACAGACTAGAGATGATGCATTCCAGGCGGAAGGAACCACAAAGGGCTGGGAAATGTGAAGTCTGGCAGGAACAGTGGTCCAAGCAGGGGTACAACTGAGGGGGCAGGAAAGAGGTGCTGCATTAACTGCAGGCAAGAAGCCCAGCAAGAGACGCACCGCTCACAAGGCCCAAACGCTGCCTTTGTAGATCACTGCACCAGAAGTCAACCTCTAGAACAATTCAGTTCCAACACTGTCTACGTGTGGCTTTCTATGGAACAGTAAATAAAACCGAGATAACAACTATTTGTGCACTGTTGCGGGAGCTGAGCTTTCCCTTTATGAAGCTCCCACAGCCAGAGGCGCAAGTCTGCCTGTCCGTCTGTGAGAATGCCCAGCTGTCCCGACAGCGGGGTCACCACACCGCCATCAAAGACCCGTCGGCCTCATGACGCTCACCTGAACCCACGTGGCCTGTGTACTTGACGAGGCACCTTCCAGTCTCTATACTCCACAGCAAAGCCGTGTGATCTGCAAGGTCAAAACAAACAAGAGTAACTGAGCTGCCAACAACTTCACAGTCTTTCTAAAAAAAGAAGATAAACATTCTAAAAATGAGAAGTTACATTACCACTAACATCTACTGCAACTCTGATTATACTACACGGTAACTCAACTGACCAAACAAAACATTTCCAAGAGGGGAGAAGGCAGTGACTTGTCTGAGGTCATGGAACTGCAAAATGGAACCAGGCCCTTGATCTGAGGTCACTCTCACTCACTGCCCGACTTCAGACTTGAATACAGATGTCACATACGTCATGGCTTCATTATTTTGTTGAAATACGAAGACTTTTACCACCACAAAATATTCAACTGCAAATAGCAGGTAGAAACGCAAATCCAGGTACAAATTATTTGAGAAAATAAATATTCATTTGGACCTTTCCTCTTATGGGCATAACAATAAAAAGATAAAAAGTAGACTTAATAGGAAAATCTGAAAAATAAATGCCAATTATCCAAATGAGATTTCAGAAATATCAGAAAAGGACTCTTTTATTATTTTTTTAAATTGTTAATTTCCAAAACAATCTGGGGTGCTCATGTATGAACATAGTTTTAAACAGAGAAAGAACTTTCTTCATCATCCCAAGCAGTTTACCATTTCCTGTCTCCACTTTAAAAGGCAGAATCTAGTGAGTAACTTCTCACAAGCTGGAAAAGCCATTTTCAACAAGTGAACACCATTTTTAATTTTAGCGATTCTTATCTGAAGGGGTATTAGGTTAATACCCCTGACAGCTCAGCTGCACCTTAGACAGCTTTCAAAAAATATCTTTAATGAGAAAGAAAGCGATCTCTCTAACGCCCACCCCATGACTCTCACAGGCAAATGCAGGGTCACCAGCAGCCCCCCTTCCACCTAAATCCTGGACCGCGTGGCCCTTCCAGAGATCACACAGCACTGCCCTTGGCTTTACCTCACAAGTGGGAAAAAATGGGACACGTATTTTCAAAGCAGATGCACATTAGATTATGAATAACAAGAAAGCCAATCAAAAAAGCACCTAATATGTTTAAAAGACACTCCGCCTTACGTTGCCTCTACCATTCAAACAGGATTCCTTAACACAGCGGGCTGAGTCCCAGAGCCGGTGTTAACTCACTCAGATGTGTCATCACGCTCACGAACTGCACAAGGCCTGACAAAGGCCGTCAGAACTAAGCGGGTCAAGACTAAGAGCTCTGGTTTCAATGACTGCTCGGCCACACATCTGCTTCCAGGATCACTCTGCTCCCAGCATCTGCCCCAGCTGCCAGTCATGCCCAACAAGCGGCAGCTAGTTCTGGACTCACCAGCAGACGCAGTCCCCAGCACCACGGGCTGTGTCCTCGCCACACTGACATCCCAGATGCCGTCCCTGTGACCAATGTATTCCTTCACGAGCTGGCACACGGCCCTCGATGTGGTGGTCTTGAAGCTGGAGACGATCTAAAATCATGATGGGAAGGAAGGAGTATTGTAGACAATTTACTGAGTGAATGTTTTTGAGTTAAAAAAGGTAAAGAAGAAGTTGTCTTGAAAGTGCATAAATCATTGAATAGAATATTTAAAACATTAAAGGAACAGAACATAAGCACAAAAATTGGCCCATCCAGCTGGATATCCCAAAAAGGAATGAACACCCTACAAAGGCCTCGGAAGCCGCCCACAGCTCCCCCACACTTCGTATAAGCATGCCCTGCCACAGAAGAAGGGCCTACTTATAGCTGCAGTCACTCTTCCACAAGTCCAAATCATCAGACAAAATTTCAAAATTCTTTAAAAAAAAAAAAAAAACAGAGAGCTAGGAGGACATGAAAAAGTCAGGAAGGCATACCCCAAACCCTTAACACTAATTACTTTTATTGTTGGGGGACTTTCATTTTTTTCTGTTTTTGGTAATTTACACCAGCCACGTATTATCAGGAAGAAAACAGCCCCAGGTAGGGAGGAATCAAAAGACGACACTTCTAACAGATGAGGTTTGTCCAACATTGTTTATTGAGCACACACAGCACCAGCACTGTGCTAGGAGGGGACACAGAGCAGAGTGACAGCAGGCCCTGTCCCCGGGCAGAGCAGTCTCACAGGGACAAGACACGAGAACACACAGGTGCATATGATGGTGAGACATTGTCTAGTACAATACACACAGCAAACAACTCTTACTTTCTCTTCTAGGAAAAACAGAAAGTGCATGAGGAAGACACTAAACACAAAGAATTCTTCCGTTTGGGTTTTAAATTGTTCTCAGACAAAAGAATGGCTTTTCAGCTTGTAAGTCAATCAGAACAATGTAGATTAATCAGAATACTGAAACTGTAAAATCAAGTGAAAAGGAAATATTGGTGGTATTATCAGCTGTTTTAAACACTGATTCAGCAAAGCCCTGAAAATGTATCGAATATGATCACATTAAAATAACAATCCACTGTTACATCCATTTGGGTATGAGCATTCAAATTACTCCTGATATACAGTGAAAGACTGAAACAAGACACTTGATGAAGAGACCGACTCCTTCACCAGTAATAGAAACAGGCTCCATTTGACTTGCTTAAACTTAAAAGGAATTACAAAACGACCTGCTCAACTGCAAACCCACCATCATCATCTTTTTCTTTTTGAAAGCTTTCATCCTATTCAACCTAGCAAAAGTGTCCCTCCACAACAGAGAAAAGTGCTTCTGCTGGCACAGTGCCATTCCAACATTAAATAACATAACATTTAGGAGAGAGTAAAATTAACAGGCAAAGCTTTCCCCCCCAGTAAGTGGTGGTAAATTTCACTTCCAAGCCTCTCGCCATTTCTAACACAGTATTATCATGAAGAGAAATGAACCACTGGGACCACATTTCACCGACCCCATTCGAACGGTTAGAACAGAGGGTCACTGCTGCAGGACTCACGCCAACCGCGTTTCTGGCGGAATTTTGCAAGAAGATAATATGCTGTTTATGAATATTGTAACGAATCATTACATGTGTTGCTTCCAAATGCCCATTACACTTTGACCACCTATTAACTATTTGTTCTTAAAAATGTTGACTTAGTCACAACTGCAAAGAGGCCCAACAAAAGAGACTGAATTATTCTGAGGGAACATTCATGACATAAAAGCAGCAGAATGAAGCAACAAATTGATGCTTACCCTGTCATCTTAATTATCACTTTAACTGAGATACAATCTACAGTGCTTTAAAAAAAGAAAGGGCTTTTTTCACAATGAAAGACACTTATCCTTACAAAAACATGCATGAAACACTTTCACAAGTTCCTTTAAAGAGGTTTGCTGGTTAGACTGCCACGACTCCCACCCAAAAGGCATGGGAGACATGTCCTTAGCCACCAGGCAGGGAAGCCCACTTCAGGTTCACTTCTGCTTTTATTAATGCACTTCGGTTTCCCACTATCTCACCACACACGCTACTCGCCTTTCTGGGCTGAGTCAGGAGGGAAGGAATGTTGCATTCAAGCTTACTACCACCTCGTTGTATTCATGCCTAGCTCTACTAGCAGATCATTCTGCTACCAAGAATACACGCAGCACAGATCAGAATATATTCTGGTATCAGATTTCTTCTTCAACTTTCAGATAATGTCTTACATTTTCATTATTATTCTTTAAGATCGGTACACACAGTGCGTACAATGCTGTGAGGATAATTAGTCATACGTTTCTTACAAATTCAGATGAATTTCTAGTATCTAAAATGAGTGAGGCTTCAAATATCTCGAATACACATTTTTTAAAGCAAAGTATTACTGTACATATCCTTTGCCCAAGTCTTATTTTTTACTACTCATGGTAAGGGATAACTTTATATAATCCTTTCATCCTGTACTTCACAAATGCTCAGAAAGTTTTAGAATTCCAAACCATACACTGTATACATAACCTAGAACCACTGGAATAAGTAATGTAATTCAAGATAATATAACAAGCAGTTAAATGAGGAAGAACATAATCTCACACTACATTTTGAATAGAAAGTTTAATGTTATTAAAAACTTCAAAACTAGTAAGTGTAAGCTCGATAATAAGTAACAAAAAATGTTTTTAATTAGCCACTTACATTCTAGAGTTACCAAAGGAAACACAAAATGTTAGCAATATTCAGATTTTTTTTTTTAACAACAAAGAATTATCAAAAACTTTCAAATAAGCAGAAACAGCAGTAAGAATGAATCTGGTCTGTCAACTGCAGTTAATCTCACTTTGGATATCATGCTAAATAACTTTAAGCTCAAGGGAACAAACTAGAAAAACAGAAAGCTAACCATAGCTCTTTACGACATCATAGCAGATGCACCACAACTTTCAACTTTTCCCTCAGGCTTAGCAAAAGGAATGCATTCATGAAGGTTAGGTAATTAATTTACCTTTTACATATTTAAAACACCCCAGAGTAGAGACCCATACAAAATTACCTTAAAATATTACTTTATAGTAGCACTCCCCCATAGGTAAATTAATTCCCAAATAATTAAATCTTTGCCACTTTAAAGAAAAAGCAAAATACCACGAATGTCCCTACTTGCCTTGGAGGTAGACCTTTACTTCCTGATCATACTTAGAAAATTAGAGAATAGAAGAGGGAATTAAAATGGAACTATGGCTCAGAACATAATTTTCATTGCTTTATACCCATTTCTTAGCTTTCTCCAAATTCAGAGTCTCTATATCAAGCCAAATAACAATACAAAGTGTTATTTCCCCTCAAAAAAGGCAATATATTTCATAATGAATAAGGTATTAAGTTCAGAATTAGGGCAGGTTAGTGTCTAAGTGTCTATACACTGTGGTCATTTAACATATCTATGATACTCCCTTTAAAAATCAAATTGTCCTAAACACCAGAAGTTTATCTTTTGCTATTACACATTTCTAACTGGAAAATATGCAACTTGAAGTACACATCTGCACACCTCAAGCACCACATGACCGGCCCGAGTTCCAGCGCCCTGCATACCTTGCTGGTGGAGGCCTTGTAAGTGGTCTTCAGCTTCTGAGAAAGCTGGCTGGTACTGTGACTGGCTGCAGAGACAGAGTCAACAATCAGAGACAATCATATAACCAAAGAGTCACAGAATTTGAGAGCTGGAACAGACTGGAGAGATCAAATTTCACCTTGCATTTCACACAGGAAGAGAGGGAAACCCAAGGGTCCCTCTGTCCACACTGACATGGAGACAACGTCAGAGTTGGAACAAGAACCCCAGCTCTCTAGTACTTCCTTCTTCCTTCTATACCCCTATCTGAAGTACGTATTTCAAGTACTGTTGACCACAAAAAGCCAATGAATCTGTGTCCTTCATTAAATTCCCAATTACCTCCATACATAATTTGAAGGGCAACCCTTATGAACATTCCATCTTACCTTTTGTTTTGAGTTGGCCCTTACTCAGTTCTGCCCCATCGATTGCTTGTCCTTCAGCAGTTAAACGTTCATTAAGAGTCTCGATTTCTCTACGCACTGGGAATAAAAGATTGTTTTCAAAAGAATAAAATATGTACTTTTTATGTTTAAATATACTCACCACTTTCAAAACTTGAGCACATAAAAATGCAACATATTAGTATTGTCTAAACAAAGCCATGAATAATACTCCAATAAACAAGATCCGTTTATAGAGTTCTCAAAAAACTCAAGACATCATTCCAAAAATGAAAACACTAATGCTCTTCCTATACTGGGAAGACACTCAGCTATCAGAGTTCTCAGCAGGGCTCCTAGATTTCAACCCAGCTCATTTCCTTTGTACTTTATTCTAATACATTTAAAACATTATTCTGATACTGTCCAAAACTCAATGAAATATTTACAGTCTAGCTGAGAACACTGAAATTGGGGGAAAAACATACAACAAAACCTAACTGTTGCTGCATGGCACCACAAGAGCACCAAGTGAAGATCATACAAAACAAAGATTAAAAATTCAAGGAAAGTTATGAAAAATGAATAGGAAGTACAGAATTACAGGGAAAAAGAGAAGAATCAAAAGGAAGAACATCAATCACAAAGAAGAGAACGAGAGGCACACTGAAGGGACTAAGACTAACAGTGTGAGCACTTTTCTCCGCATCAGGCCCTCTGGAGCAAGCCTGTGAGACTGACGCTGTTATCCTGCTCTCATCCACCCTGCAGGGATGAGGAAAGAGACCTGGAGAGGGGAAGGGACTTGTCCAAGGACACAAGATACTGCAGCGACACAGCAGGACCCTGGTGTGGCCATAAATGCACGCGGTGCTAAGGCTAGGAGCCTGCCACTACACCACGTCACCTCCCAGGACTGTCCAAGATCTGTTCAGGCTACAATGAGGCGAAGGGTTTGAGTGAAAGCACAGAACGAGATCAGTTAGAAGGAAGGCTGAGGGCAAAAGGCTCTGAACAGATCCAGTCTAAGCAATTTCTACTATATCTCACAGGCAGTAGGAAGCCAATGAAACCCTAGGCACCACAGTGTAAACTCCAAGCACCTCCAGCACTGGGAATTTGTAATCCCATGGTTTTTCTTCAACAAATTACATGAATTCACGAAACAGAAGACCTTAGATCACAATGGAAATTCAATAATACTTGGGTCGTTACAAATCTGATACTTAAAGAAAACCCTTAAAATCAGATACAGTACATGGTACCTAATTTTTATTTATAAAAACTTCGAATAATTTCTCCCTCTGTAAATTTTCCATGTGGACTTACAAGGAAAATCCAATATTAAAAAATTAAATTTTCCAATAGCAAAGTTAAAATAACATAGGATTACACTCTCTTCACTAGTGATCCAAACACATGACTTGGTTCTAGAGTGAAAAATATTTTAATAATGCAAATATAATTTATTAGTATTCAATGTTTGGAATCAACTTAGATAACAGCATGACAAACCTTAAACACAAACCCTTAAAAATAACAAAAATTGGAAAGTAATGGAGCAGTGAGAGGGGTAAAGAAGGTCAGGTTCATGTCCTAACATTTTACAGTGAAGCATGAATCCATGTGGCCTGAAGTTGACAGAGCTAAAAACAAGTCGATTATTTAAGTTTAAAAAATAATCACGACGGGGCTGGCCCCGTGGCCGAGTGGTTAAGTTCGCGCGCTCCGCTGCAGGCGGCCCAGTGTTTCGTTGGTTCGAATCCTGGGCGCGGACATGGCACTGCTCATCAGAACACGCTGAGGCAGCGTCCCACATGCCACAACTAGAAGAACCCACAACAAAGAATATACAACTATGTACTGGGGGGCTTTGGGGAGAAAAAGGAAAAAAAATAAAATCTTAAAAAAAAAAAAAAAAATCACGAGAACAAGCAAAAAATGGAGAAAACGTTTTCCTTTATAGAGTGGGATGGTCAACAGATGGGGTGATGGTAGATACCGTTTCTTTTGATGCTGCTTGATTCTTTAAGCAAAAGAAGGCATGACTTCTAAAATAAAATTTAAAAAGAAAAACTAAAGCCACAATAATTAAAAATTCTTTTGATTTACCTTTAACTAATAAATCAAATAGATAATACACATTTTAAGAAATTCTCAAAATACAGTATATTTTAAAGAAAAACATGAAAAGGTGTTTTCTCAATTTACAGTATACTTAGTATAGGAAAAGTTATGAGATGCATTTATTTTTCATAAAATCATAATTTGGATCAGCTAATGGGGTTAGCAAAATACTGCCCATCCCAAAGATAATCTGTGAACATGTGACCTCTGCGGCAAAGGGGCCCTGCAGGTGTGACTGAGGTGAAGGACCTCAATGGGGAGATCACCCTGCATGACCCAGACGGCCCATCTTTCTCACACATCCTTAGGAGCATGTTACAGATGCACTAGGAGGACTCCAGCTGCTGCTGACAGCTTTAAAGATGGAAGAGGGAAGAAACGCTTTGAGCCAAGGAAAGTGGCAGGCTCCAAACACTGGGAAAGCCATTAAGAAGATGGACCTCTGTCCTCCCACTGCAAGGAACTGAAATCTGCACAATCCAAGCAAGCAGGAGACAAGATTGCCCCTCATGCCTCCAGAAAGGGCACAGCTCTGCCAATACCATGACTTTAGTCTGGTGAGAGCCCTATCACACTTCTGACCAAGAGCTGCAAGACAGACATTTGTGTTACTCTCAGCAACTACGTTTGTCACAGCAGAATAGAAAACAGGTCAGTGGTGAATGTCTACTCACAAATCTGACTTTCAAAAGATTTCTATGGATACGTGAAAAGTTATAAAAGTTTATTAAGACAAGAGATACTCACATTCTAAGTTTTCAATATAAAGGTTTTCAAATTCTCTTTCTATTTGTCCAAACAGTTCCAGAAGTGTACTGCGAACTGAGGAAGGCAGTTTAGAATCCTGTAAAAAGGAAGATTTTGTTTAAAATGAATGAATGAATGAGAAACTCTGATACCAAGTACCAATATACTTTTTCCAAAGTGAATTATCATTTATCTTAAATTCTTATTTTATATCTTTACGTATTTTATTTCTTATAAAGTCATGTGCTGCATAACGACATTTTGATCAATGACGAACCGAGTATACAATGGTGGTCCCATAAGATTAGTACCACACAGCCTAGGGGTGTAGTAGGCTATACCACCAAGGTTTGTGTCAGTGCACTCTATGATGTTCACACAACGAAATGGTCTAATGATGCATTTCTCAGAACGTATCCCCACTGTTAAGTGATGCATGACTGTACATAAAACACTTAAAGAACTTACAGTTTCAAATTTCTATAGATGAACATAAAATCAAATTGTATAGATGGTTACCCAGGATAATACGGGATTCAAGAACAAGCACTTCTTCAAAATAACATAACGTTTCCTTTTACAAGGGAGGAAATAAGCCTACCTTATTCAAAAACTTCCTAATTTTTAGAGAAGGAAGACAGTTCCCACAAACGAACTTGTATTCTAAACAGCCTTTAAGTTCTATCATATGGTCTTATAAACTAATTTTAATAAGCTATATACTAATAGAAGATGTGCCTTTATAGAGTTCTCATGTCCAATGTACTTCAAGAAAAATAAAGTGGGTATTTCCTGTAACTGTGAGTAAAACCTAAGATTGTTGTGCTGGGGGAAAAATGAAAAATCTCACCTGTAAGAGCAAAATGTGCATCAGTTAAAGGAAAACATAAACGAATAAGTTCCCAGGTACACCACAACTTTCACGGCTGTGTGCCTTTGCACACACTGCACATCGCTGGTCCTGTCTAAACCTCATAGGAAGTCAGTGGGAAGCAGCAACATCTCGCTGCATTTTTAGGAATGGTCACACAGGTGAGTGGCGTCCTCGGCACCAACTGTGTTCAAAGCATTTACTTTCCGGACACTGCTAACAGCAGGACACTGATCCAGTCTACGTCCTACCTCCTGAGAGCATGGCCTGTGGAATATTTGTATGTGTCCCTCCAAGCACTCAGAGTATTTGCAAACAAAATTCTTAACAAATATTTCTAAAATAACGTTTCAAGACTTAACTTCTGTCAGTGTAACTCTCCAAGTCACTTTTCAAATTTTTTATGCAGCACAAACTTTTTGATGTTTAATGAGTTGCAAATAAAAAAAAAGATATACAATGTTTATTAAATTCCTTCTCAGACTAACTTCCAGGAAGACAAATTTTAAACAAAATGATCTAATGGTATCAGCATTTTAGCAATATGTTTTGAAATAATCACAGAATGCTCAAGTAAATTTTACAATCTACTTAAAAATGTATGTGAAGCCACTTGTTTAAAAACTGAATCTGGTGGAATTGATAATATAGCCTCTCAACATCCCTCTAAATTACCAATGAAAAACACACAAAAAAGAAAACTTAAACTAACAGTGAAGAGTAAAATAAACTGTCACAGTTAATGTCTAACACGCTGTCGCCTGCCTGAACCCTTGGCACATCCTCTTCTTCTCCAGGCCATATTCTTCCTGCCCCATCCAGTCAGCCCTCCTCACTCAGGTCACTTGTGAGAAGCCTTTCTGACTCCTCCTACCAGGGCCAAATCTCCTCTCACATGTTTCAATTCCTACTCACCGATATGCCCATAATGATTAAGATCCTTATTATTCATCAACTGAAACATTACATTTACTTGAACAGTAAATGCATTTTAATATAAAATGTGACTGTAATGGGAGACAAAGCTCAGATGTCCGTATTAACTTCACTTGATAAAATAAAGACAATCAAGAAACAAAAAGTGCAGTAACATGAGAACTGTTTCACTAGAGGGCAGTGAAGCCAAGAGAGAGCTCTGTACAAAGTTCCCTCAACCTCATCGAAGCTCATCGTCCAGCACCATCCAACTTCACAGACCATGAAGTGAGAGGTGTTGACCTTTGAGTATCACTGCAGAAAATTCAAGACAGAAAAGCTACTATGATTCAGTAAAGCTTTTAAATTACCTTGCACTGTATCACGTCAGCCCATACAGGACGCAGGAGGCCTGTTTTCAGGCTATAGTAAGTGCTCTGTGCATACACAGAGCAGCAGTCCTCTGCAACAACAGACCTCCCATCCCCACATGAAGCACTGCTTCCTAAAATACTTTTTTTTCCTCTCCCCAAAGCCCCAGTACATAGTTGTGTATCCCAGTTGCAGGTCATTCTAGTTCTTCTATGTGGGATGCCATCACAGCATGGCTTGATGAGAGGTATGTAGGTCTGCACCCAGGAACTGAACCGAGGAACCCTGGGCCGCCAAAGCAAAACTCACAAACTTAACCACTCAGCCACAGGGCTGGCCCCTCCTAAAATACTTTACATTCACAAATCTAAGACATATAAAATTACCCTAATAGCTCACTCACACTACTCTTCACTTTTTTTTGATACTGCTCTGCAACAACTAAGAAAGCATTACTGTAACCTTGTCTAGAAAGTAACGACCTGTTGTTCAACTCAAATCCACCAGAAATAGGCCCTCTGTATTCTTGGATCCCTCCACCTACGCCTACCATGCCAACTGCTTGCATCAAACACCATTGCTACCGTCCTCCTGCTGCGAAATCAGGCAGAGCACCTCATACCAGCCACTCCAGGAAACTGTACTCATCAACAAGTGAGCACCATCAAAGGGACGCTGGAGATGCCAAGCTGGGCTGTCTTCCTGGCAGAGTTCTGAATGACCTTCATGAAAGGTAACCCTGAGATGCAATTACCTACTTGTTCTACATCACAATGGAGGACAGGCACACAAAAGGCCAAGAGAAAAAGGCATTTACCTCATATAGGTGTTAACTCTGGAAGATGCTAGCAAAGGAGGTAGTAAAATTTTCATTGCTAGGAATGTAAGTAAATCTAACAATCAAAAAAACGTATCTTAGGGGCCAGCCCCATGGCAGAATGGTTAAGGTCGCGCGCTCTGCTGCAGGCGGCTCAGTGTTTCGTCAGTTCGAATCCTGAGCGCAGACATGGCACCGCTCATCGAGCCACACTGAGGCGGTGTCCCACATGCCACAACTAGAAGGACCCACAACTAAAAATACACAACTGTGTATCAGGGGGCTTTGGGGAGAAAAAGGGAAAAAAATAAAATCTTTAAAAAAATGTATCTTAGATGGTTTACCTGCACTGTCCAATATGGTAGCCAATAGCCACATGTGACTATTTAAATATATGTTAATTAAAATTTTTAAAATTCCTCACACTAGCCACATGTGGCTTGTCACTCCCATATCTGATACCACAGATCTAGAACATTCCATCATCACAGAAGTTCCACTGCACAGCTCTTGTTCAAATATTCACTTTCCTAAACATTATGGGCTAACTTGTGTCCCACCAAACTGATATGCTGAAGTCCTAACCCCAAGCAACCCAGAATGTGACTGTATTTGGAGATGAATTAGTTCTAATTGTAAAGGAACGAACACAAATTTATAGGTATTTATATTTCTATATTTATATTGTAATATATACATATACTTAAACAGGTATTAGATATATCTATAATTTATTTTACTATAACATACTTTTATTTAGGTTTCACAATAATATTCTTTTAAAAATCTAACACATTTTCATCATCATAAAGGAACTACATAAAATATTAGCAAAATATCTTGATCAATAAAATACTAGTTCATTTAATCAAAGAGAACATAAAATTATCAGAAAAACATATAATGTAATAAACAGCAGACGACACACTCACCACAGCAGACAGGATAAAGCCAAGGAAAGTCACTACAAGATGTGACTCCACAAACTCTCCAGGGAACAGAAGGAGATCATTAAAACTATACCTGATTCTCTTCTTGAGACTATCAGACAGAAAACCTAAAACTGCGCTGTCAACTCACCTATACAAAGAATAAAAACTGTCACACTCACTTTTTTTATTAAGTATTGTAAAAACATTAACCTGGGAATCGAAGTCTATCTCTGTGTTGTATTTGACAGTTTTAGTTTATGGGGAGAAGAGTTTGTTTTGTTTTTTGGTAAGCCACACTTTTTCTCTGCTTTGGAGACCTATACATACTCGGCTATTTCTGGAACATCACAGTCAGCATCTTCACAAGAAGACACTGACCAAGCACTAACTTACTTGTCCTTCTAACATTTCTCTTGGCAGGCCCGTCCTCTCCTGCTCCGAGCTGTTAGTTCTTCGTATAGAAAGGCTATGAGATTTGCGTTTCTGTTTTGCTTGGCGAGCAGTTGAACAACTCCCGCTTTCTGTGGGCATTACTTCCAGAAGGTGATGTCCTGGTCACTCCGGCAATAAGCTAAACAAAAGCAGGAAAACAAGTACTTTACTTCTGATATAGCAAATTGAAATGAAGGAAACATAGTGGGCAATTATTACTTTTAATTCCAAACTTCTTTACTATGGTTAACATTTACTACATAATTTAGAATCTGACAAATTAACATGTTTTAAGGTAGAGACCACACAGCCTTTATTAAAGAGGTAATCTCTTAATCAAATTTCACGAACAAGTTTTAAAAACCAAACAGCAAAGGGCTTAAAATAAAGAACAACTCTCCCTTGACCAGCTTTCCCCAGACTCAGGCTACTCCTCAGAGGGAACAAATTCTATTGCACGTTCTAGACTACAGACTCTAGAGCTGTGTAGACTACAGATTCAATGCTGTCCAAGAGAAACACAATGCAATACACATGTAACAGTAAATTTTCTAGTAGCCAAATTAGCTAAAGTAAAAACAGGTAAAATTACTTTTAATGATTTAACTCAATATGGCTAAAATAATGCCACTTTAGTCAATGTAAAAAACACTAATGGGCTATTTCACAGTTGGTACACTTCCATCTGGGGACTTCAGTGTGTATTTCATAGTCACAGCACTTCTCAAGTGGAACTAGCCACATTCCCAGTGCTCAGATGTGATTTGCGGCTGCCATTAGACAGCACAGATGCAGAAGTCATTCAAACCTCTACATAATATAAACATTTTAATTTACCCATTTTGGGACATTATCTATTCATTTCCTGCTATTTTCAATTCCTCCTCCTCATAGACTATCACTGTAATTAATATAATTTTCAAGTAATGTTTACATGACATTTTCCTTCTTCACCTGCAGACTCACGTTTTAGACGTTACCTGTTTTTTGTTCTTATTGATCCCTCCTTCTCCTAATGTATCTGTTAGTTCGTGTAATTTTAAGTAATATATTTATGTATCTTCCTTCTTCAACTACTGACAGTATCTGGTGATCCTCTCCACCCCACACTTCACTTTGTAAGAAAGGCTACAACTTTCCAACCTTTTCCTGAGTTATCCCCCACAGCCATCCATGTCCCAACTTTTGTGGAGTCATTTGAGAATGATAAATAAGTAAGAGCACAGAGTATGTGCCCTTTTGAGATCTTGAGCTTAAATGCTCCTGAGATCCGACCAAGTTATTGCATGTATCCAGTTACTTCCCTTTGATTGCTGGGTAGTACTCCACAGTATGGATATACTACAGTTTGTTTAATCACTCATCTATTGCAAAAAGTTTTGGTTCTTTCCAGATGTTTACTATTACAAATGTAATAATATACAGGTTTTTGCACGAACCTGTTTCCATTTCTTTAGATGAATACCTAAGAGTGAGACTGCTAGGGTATAGGGTAAATGTATATTTAAAGAAAATCTTTACTGAGATATAATTCACACACCACATAAGACACTTCCCACAACCAGCCCTAGACAACCACTAATCTACTTTTTCTATATATAAATTTGCCTGTTTTGGCCATTTCATATAAATGGATTCATAAAATATATGGCCTAGTCTATTGTGACTGGCTTTTTTCACTTAGAAAATGGACAAATTAGCGTGTTTTCAAGGTTCATCCATGTTACAGCATGTATTAGTAATTTATTCCTTTTTATTGCCAAATATTCCATTGTATGGATAGACCACATTTTACTTATCCATTCATGAGCTGACAGACATTTGGTTGTTTCCATTTTTAGGTTATTATGTATAATGCCACTATAAATATTAGCATGCAAGTTTCCGTGTGCATTTGTTTTCATTTCTCTTTTGTACATACCCGGGTATGGAACTGCTGGGTCATATGGTAACTCTGTTTAACCATGTTTAGTTGTCTTAAGAAACAGTAAAACTATTTTCCAAAATGGCTATAACCTTACATTCCCATGAGCAATGATGGTGTGAGAGAGTCTATTCTCTGCAGCCTCACCAGTTTTTGGTATTGTCACTATTTTTAATTTTAGCTGTTCTGATAAGTGTGTAATACCTTGTCAGTCTTAATTTGCACTTCCCTGGTGGCTAGTAATATTGAATGTCTTTTCACATGCTTACTTGCCATCCATATATCCTCTTCACAAAATGTCTCCTCATGTCTTTTGCTCATTTTCTAATGGGATTGTCTGGGCTTTTACTGTTAAGGTTTGAAAGTTCTTTATAAATTCTTGATCAGATATTTGTCAGATACATGGGTTGCAAATAGTTTCTCCCAGTCTATAACTTGGTTTTTTATCCTAACAGGGTTTTTCACAAAGCAAAACTTAAATTTTGATGAAACCCAACTGATCAATTATTTTTCTTCTATGGATCATACTTTTAGAGTCATGGCTAAGAACTCTTCATCAATCCTAACCCCCAAAATTTTCTCCTATGTTTTCTTCCTTAAATTTTAGTTTTATACATTGTATTTCAATTTATGAGCTATTTCGGGTTGATATTTTTATAAGGTGTGAAGTTTAGATCAAGGTTTTTGGTTTTCTTGCTGATAGCATCCAAATATTCCAGCACCATACGTTGAAGACTATCAATACTACGTTGAATTGAGAAAGTTTGGCAGCTTGGTCAGAAATCAACTGGCTATACTCAGGTGGGATTACTTCTTGGCTCTCTATTCTGTTCCAGAGATCTATGTATCTATCCCCTCTGCCCATAACAGTCTTGATTACTGTGCTATTTCGAAATCAGTTAGTGATTCTTATCACTTACCTCTTTCTCAAAACTGACTTAGCTATTCTAGTTCGTCTTCCCATATTAATTTAGAATCATCTTTTCCATATCTACAAAAATCTTGATGGCATTTTGATAGGACCTGTGTTTAATGTGTTCATCACTTTGGAGGGAATTGGTATCTTTACCATGTTAAGCCTTCCAATCTATGAACAGTTTATCTCTGTTTACTTAGATCATCTGTGATTTCTTTCCTCAGTTTTGTAGTTTTCCACATAAAAGTTCTAGATGTCCTCTCAAATTTATACTGAAGTTCATATTTTTATTTTTTGACCTTTATTATATTTTTGTTTCACATTAATTGCTAGTATATAAAAATTCAATTAATTTTTCTGTATTGAGCTTGTATCCTACATTCTTGCTGAACTCATTTATTAGTTCTAGGAGACTTTTTGTAGATTCTATGGCATTCTCTATGTAGATTATTATATCATCTAAAAAAAGGACAGTTTCATTACTTCCTTTCTTATCTGTAGACTTTTATCTCCTTTTCTTACTGATCTGGCTAGAAATTCCAATACTATGTCAGATCAGAATAGTTACAGCAAACATCCTTGCTTTGTTCTGATCTCAAGGTAAAAATATTCAGTCTCTCATCATTAAGTATGATGCTTGCTGTAGGTTCTTTTAAATAGTTTATCTAGTTCAGAAAGTTTCCCTCTATTCTTCATTTTCTGAGTTTCATGAATGAGTTAAATTTTGTCATATTTTTTCTGCCTCACTTAATACAATCATGCAGCTTTTCTTTTTTATGCTGCTCACAGGTCAATTACACTGATGATTTTCAAATATTGATCCAACCTTGCATCCATGGAATCAACCTCTCTTGGCCTTGGTACATAAGCCATTCTCTGTTTTCTCATTTTGTTTGTTTTCTTTCTTCTGCTTTCTTGTGGGTTACTTGAACATTTTTTAGAATTTCATTTTGACTTACCTATAGCATAGTTTCCGAATTTCTCTTTTGTATAACTTTTTTAGTGGTCCCTCTAGGTATTACATTATATTTTCACAACTTATCACAGTCTACTGATTATCAACATTGTACCAGTTCATGGTAAAGTACAGAAAGCTTATCTTCCTCTATGTCCATTTGCCCTCACCCATTTATAACACAATGATCTTAAATATTTCCTCTTGAGAACCACATAAGACAGTTGTGCTTCAACCTTCAAATATAACTTAGACAGGGAATGTCTACTGAATTTACCAATGTTTGCTCTTTCCATTATTTGTTTTTGTTCTTCCTTCCTGGTGTTCCCACATTCCTTATGTCATTTCCTTTCTGTTTAGAGAACTTCCTCTACCTATTACTTTAGGGTAGGTCTATTGGCGACAAATCATGTGAACAATGTTTTCGCTTGATACAAAATTCTGAGCTGATAGTTTTTTTTCCTTCAGCACTTAAAAAATGTGCAACTTCCTTCTGGCCTCCGTGGTTTCTAGTGAGAAATCCACTGTTATTCAAATTATTTTTCCACTACAGACATAGCAACATTTCTCTCTCACTGCTTTTTTGTCTTTAGTTTTCAGAGGTTTGACTATGATGTATCTTAACATGGATTTCTTTGAGTTTATCCCATCTGGGTTTCACTAAGCTTCTAGAATCCGTACGTTTATTGCTTGCCAAATTTAGGAAATATTCAGGCAGTATTTCTTCAAACATATTTTCAGCCCCACTGTCTTCCTCCTCTGTTTCGGGGATTCTGATGAAAAGAATGATAGATCTTTTGTTAAAGTCCCACAGGTCCCTGGGGTTCTGTTTATTTTTTTCCAGTCTATTTTCTTTCTGTTATTCAGATTGGGTAATTTCTATTGTTTTATCTTCAAGTTCACTGATTCTTTCCTTTGTCCTCTCAATTCTTTTTTTTTTTTCCTTTTTCTCCCCAAAGCCCCCCGGTACATAGTTGTATATTCTTCATTGTGGGTCCTTCTAGTTGTGGCATGTAGGACGCTGCCTCAGCGTGGTTTGACGAGCAGTGCCATGTCCGCGCCCAGGATTCCAACCAACAAAACACTGGGCCGCCTGCAGCGGAGCACGCTAACTTAACCACTCTGCCACGGGGCCAGGCCCTGTCCTCTCGATTCTGATGCTGCGCCATCCTATGAGTTGTTTCATTTATTGTATTTTTCAGTTCTAAAATTTCCATTTGTTTCTTTTTTATATCCTGGATTTTCTTCCTGAGATTTTCTATTTTTCATTTGTTTCAAGTGTTAGTAACTGCTCACTGAAACAGTTTTATGATGGGTGCTTTAAAACCTTGTCAAATAATCCTA